CTCTTAGAGATCTATGGTCCTGATTTGTCACCTCAAAGCTCTTGGAAATTTTTCCTCCGCTAGTTAGTTCTCGTGAGGTGTTGAACATCCCTTTGAGGGACTGATTTGGAGGGGCAGTCTGATCCCCTGAGGTAGTCTGGAGACCACAACTCTTTATGAAGCCTTTCCTCCTTGAGATCAGTGAGGGTTTCACCCTAAGAATGTAGAAGTATCAAAAGTGTGTCTCTTATTCTAGGAGGCCATGGCAGGCATTACTAGTAGATTACCAAATTCCCTCTGTAGAATCTGGCCTCCTGGCTCAGTCTCCTTCCTTATAACTGGTAATCTACTGGATTATCTTCTCTTTCCCCTCCTGGGGTCAGCCCTTCTCTGCTCACAGCAGAACAGAGAAGGCAACTGGGTCCCAGTTTGCCCTTGCTGACTATGGCATGCTAGCCCCATCTCTCCACCTGTCAGTGTGCCCCCTTGTCCAGGATTCCGGATGTATGATGGAGGAAGGTCATTGGCTAATAAAGAAACTGCCTTGGCCCATTTGATAGGCCAGCTTTTAGGTGGGTGGAGTAAACAGAACAGAATGCTGGGAGGAAGAGGAAGTGAGCTCATACGCCTTAGCTCTGCTCTCTGGGGCAGACGCAATGAAGCTCTGACCCAGGATGGACGTAGGCTAGAATCTTCCCGGTAAGCGCACCTTGGTGCTACACACATTAATAGAAATGGGCCAGGCAGTGTTTAAATGAATACAGTTTGTGTGTTGTTATTTCGGGGCATAAGCTAGCCAGGCGGCTGGGAGCAGGGTGGCAGGAATGCAACCCACAGCTCCTACAACAGATGTAAAGCCATGGGATAATAAATATGACAGTTTTTTTGTGTACTCTTGAGGTCTGGGCCAATAAAAGATGCTGTCGCAAGTCAAGGAGAGAGATAACAGCCCCCAACTTCTGGCTGAAATGGGTGGAGGCTTTCGTAAGTGAGGCACCTCAGATGGGATGGGATCGCTTCTTTTATCCTCAGTTGCCCCAGAGTACAAGCTGAGTCTGCATTCCCAGGCTGGACTCCAGCCAGTCAGCTGCATGCACATTCTCCCTAGGCCAGTACCTTTGGTAAGTAAGAATGGCTCCCATAGACTCATAGATTTGAATGCTTGGCCACCACGGAGTGGCGCTGTTTGAAAGGATGAAGAGGCACGGCCTTGTTGGAGGAGGTAGGCCTTGATGTTTCGAAAGCCCATGCCAAGCCCAGAATCTCTCTTGGTCTGGATGCAGTTGTAGAACTCTGTGCCGTTTCTCCAGCACCATGTCTTCCCACTATGATGACAGTGGACTAAGCCTCTGAAATTGTAAGCCAACCCCAATTAACTCTTTTCTTTCTAAGAATTATCATGGTCATGGTGCCTCTCCACAGCAGCAGAACTCTAAGGTAATATCAGAGGGCACTCATGGGTAGTGGGGAGGATCTAGGGGTGGTCATCCTCCAGGGACTAATGTGACTCCAGCTGTCCGATGGTTGTGAATCACCATGTGGTTGCCTGGAATTGAACTCAAGTCCTCTAGAAGAGCAGCCAGTGCTCTTAACCTCTGAGCCACCTCTTCAGTTCCATCTCCCCACCCCCCTTCTTTTGGTCTTTCTATTTATTTTTCTTTGGCCGGGGTCTCATGTAGCCCATGCTAACCTCAAACTTGGTACGTAGCCAAGATGGCCTTGTCCTTGATCTCCTGATACTACCACCTTCATCTCCCAAGTCCTGGGATTAGCTCACAGCACCACACCCATATGCCTATCCCATGCTGGGGACCAAACCCAGGGCTCTGTGCATGCTAGACAGCATTCTACCACCTGAGCCTCACGCTCAGGCCTGGCTTTCACTTCTTCCCATTCTCCCTTGTCCCTCCTTAAATCTAACGTAAATCCACTGCAGAACAGTTAGAAAATCCAGACAAAAAAGGAAATGGTGTTAACCCATGATACTCCCACATAGAGGCTAGCACCGTTAAACACACAGCCTTCCTGTGGTGTATACACGCATATCGATTTCACAGGATTCAAACTGTTCACTGCATAGCATTTTGGAACAGGTCCCCATACCCTCTTACTACGGAGGTCATGACGTTTCTTATGGTCCCTTAGTTGAATAGTGCACTCACCGAGTCACCCAGCTGCCTTGTCTTGCACATGAGTGTCCAGGTTTTCATTGCAATGAGCAACATTGCTGAGCAAGACCCTCTGGGCTCCACTGAGACACATCTCCTAATAAGATGTTAGCGGGGGCAGACTTGCAGGCCCGGGACATGCACTGTCATGAATACTGCCAAATCTCCTAAAACTCATGCCCACCTTCAACTCCCTCCCACACACTGGAGATGCGTGCTTTTCTCCCACTGATATGGCCAGGTGGAAAGCCACAGGCTCAAAACTCTCTCCAGCTGCTGGGCTACTGCAGCTGAACTCCAAAGGCCACGGAAACGAAAGTTCTCTCGCATCCTCCCCAGCTTAAAGCACCTTGACAGAAGCCTTGGCCAGTCCATGCACCTGGCCACACGGCATGGCCATTGCAGCTGCTAGCTGCCTCCCTGCCCACATGCATGCCTGGCTGTGTCTGCCCAAGGCCTGCATCTCATACCTCGTGGCAGGACAGCGAGCTTGAGTTATAGCAGACCTGATTTCCCTGTACAGCTCCCACGGAGTTAACAGATGTACGCACGTCTGAAGCAGTCAGGCAGCAAGAGGCTTTGGGGCCGATCCTTCCCAATCTGACAGTGTGTAATTGAGGTGAAGCCATAAATTTTATAAACAAGAACAAACGCCCCTTTAGCAACATATGTCTGCTCGACCCTTCCAAGGTGATCATAGAGAAAGGCACCTACTAGCTGGGGAAGGATGTGGGCATTACAGATGGCTGGGGGGGGGGGGAGGACCAGAGGGCCTGTGACCTGAGATCAGCCATGAGGGGCTGCGTCTAGGACACTGGTAGATGGAGAAGTCGCCTTGCACCCCAGGTCTAGAGTTGGTTCTTTGTGTCACTTGCAACTGGCACCTATTTCTCATTTTCCTTGAAATGGCTATGTCTGGCTGGGACGACCAGGGTCCTCTGGGAGCTTTCGATTCTTTCCTCTTCTCCTAGAGAAGCAGTCTGCCTCCCTTAATTTCCAGCCATACCCTAGTAGCTAACTTCCAAAGAAGGCCACCCTGGAGAACATGACAGGCTCTGCGGCCACTACAGCAGGACAGGTATAGTGTGGTCCCCATGCAGAGGTAAGCAGGCTAGAGGAAGAGCCAAGCTCAAATCCCAGAGTGGCCTCTCACTGCATAGTACCAGCCATGGTGCCATTTCCCAGAGCCCCGGCTTAGTCTGTAATCCAAGGATGCTGTTGGCAGCCTGCTGGGGCTGCTGTGGGCAAGGTGCTCTCTCCGGGTTAGTTATGCTGTGAAAGTTTTGTTGACATTTATCTTGTGTGTGTGTATGTGTGTGTTTATGTGCACACATGTACTGTGTATGCATAGAAATCAAGAGGACAACTTGTAGGAGCCTGTTCTCTCCTTCCACCATGCAGACTCCAGGTGTCAAACTCAGAATATCAGTTCTGTGGCAAGTGGCCTTACCTGCTGAGCCATCTCCCCAGCCCAGGGTGTGAGGGTTTGCAAAGCTCTGTATGTGGCCTGATTGGTGACACACACCTGGAATTCCAGCACTCAGAGAACCACGGCAGGGGAATAATAAGTTTGAGGTCAGCTGGCTCTGTGGCAAAACCCCATCTCAAAGCCTGGCACCACACCCAGGGCTCAGAATGGCTTTGAAGAGGACAAAGCTGCTCAGCCATAATGGCTACACCGACCAGGCCAGGGGAGTTGGCCTCGAATCTCAGCAAGCTGCTGTTATCCAGCGTTCCAGGCACAGTGCATCCTACTCATCCGCCAGTGCTCTAGAGCAGAAAGGGCCCTCAGGTGCGAGGATCACAAGCTCCAGGCCAGCCTGGTCTAGAAGTTCCAGGCCAGCCTAGGCTACATGGTAGCTAAAGGAATTGTTCAAGGTGACAAAGCTGGAATTTGAATTCAAGTATCAGTAGCTAGCATTTGCCAGGGCCCTGGCAAACACTTCCTAAGTACGCATGCTCTCCTAGTGGCCACAGAGCCCCAAGACTTTCGTCGTTTTACCAGTGAGAAGGCAAGGATGAAGAAATGACCAGTGTCCAGAGTTCATAGGCTAGCAAGTGACAGGCCTGTTCTCGGGGTCTAGGAGGCCAGCGTGGAGCTGTGTGCCTGTCAGTCATTCACTGTCCCTCCAGGTTCTGCAGACATCCAAGGCTCCCAGGAGGCCCCGTCTCTAGCTCCATGCATGCCTTCTCACCTTCAAGGTTGGGGGCTCCATGAAACCCTAAGTTGCTGCTGGAGGAAGGTACGCCATGGATCCACACTTAGCTTTTGAAGAGGGTGCTGTTATTTTTTTTTAATTATTTTTTTTTTGAGACAGGGTCTTGCTATGTTGCCCAGGCTGGTCTTAAACTCCCAGGTTGTTCCGACAGTCCATCTGCTTCAGCCTTCCACTGTTGTTGGGACAACAGGCATGTGCCACAGTGCCCCAGCTTGCCTGGGAATCTTACCTTGGGGTTACATGGACTTTCAGGATGCATGCAAACTTGGCGATAACCTAGAAAGAATGTGTACACCACTCTAAAGAGAGTGTGTGCACAGCCTTCTCCAGGATTCCAAAGCAATCAAAGATGGCTTTGTGAGTTCTGATTCTATAACGTATATGACTCTGAAACCCTTCCCCAAACCCCTGGTGTGCTTGTCTTCTGCCCTGCCTGGAAAAAGTGCCATCTTCCAGGAGGGACTCCAAGATCAATCCTAGGCCATGACAGCAGAAGCCACACCCTCCACAAGGACCCCAAAGGCAAATTTATTCCTTTTGGTAATCAAGACAGGACCAGCTTGGGTACAGCACTGCCAGCAGGATCCTCGAACCCCATCTGGGGAGAGAGATGAGCCACAAATCCTTCCAGGCACTGATTTATGTAGCATTCATGCGGAATTTATTACACAAAGAATTTTATTCAATTAAACTTGAAATGCGTCTGGATTCTTAAAGGTTCAGTCATGATCACTGGGACAGAGGGATCATAAAACTGGATGGGCTGTCAGGAGGTGCTCAGGAGGAGGTAAGGGTGACATTGCAGCTGACAGGGGACTCGGAACTGGGGACGTTTATCACTGGGATGTGCTACAAGTTCAGGCTCGGGAAATTACTCAGTGAGAAATGCACATTACCAATAGCCATGAAATACCAGTTAGGGGAAACTCGGTGAGCAACGCGACCGCAGATCTATTAGTGCCTGACACCGCTGTGATTAAAATGACTGTTGAGCGCTGGTGGCTTGGGGATGGGAGGGTCATGAGACCCCTAGGCCAGTTCTGAGCCTCAGTTTCCCTTCCTGCAGAAACGTGACCCCACTCCCAGTGCGGGGGTCCAGTGTGAGCAGGAGCCTGGGGCCCCTCTGTAGCACTGGCAGGCACCACTGCAGAGGGAGGGGGGACACCTCGCTAACGAAGGTGAATACTGTCCCAAACTAGAGCCATCTTCACGGGTGTGAGCTATGAGGTAGCAAAAACTAGGCAATATCATAAAACCCACTGGACTGTCCATTTTAGAAAGAAATTTCTGGTAGGTGGCATTGTATCTCAATGAAACAGCTATTGACAAAATTTTTTTAAAAAGATAGGGAGCCTTCCTGCAATCTTTTCGAGGAGTGAGGTATGCAAGTGGAGAGAGGCCAGTGATAAATGGGTACAATTTAAAGCAACAGTTCGGCAGCTGTGCCAGTGCACAGTGGGAATTGCCCCATGAGGACTGGGGGGCGGTTGCAAAAGGCTAGGCCATGCCTGGAGCCTGAACACTGAGATCTACCGTAAAAGCTACCCAAGAATGCTGAAGGCAGGGGACTGGAGAGATGGCTCAGAGGTTAAGAGCACTGACTGCTCTTCCAGAGGTCCTGAGTTCAATTCCCAGCAACCACATGGTGGCTCACAGCCATCTATAATGAGATCTGGTGCCCTCTTTTGGCATGCAAGCATAAATGGAAGAAATGTTGTATACATAATAAATAAATAAATAAATCTTTAAAAAAAAAAAAAAAAAAAGAATGCTGAAGGCATAGGCTAGGGGTCTAGGCTGCTATTTCCTTGAGTTCAGTCTGTCTTTTTAGGGGGAGCAGTGGCTATAGGCGGAGTACAGGGCTGCTGCTACAAGCTCTTGGAACACGACCCCCAGGCCTGGAACATGACACTCAAGCACCATTAGCACACACAGCACCAACTCCATATCTGATCTGTGCCTCACTATGGTGGCTGTACTGGCATTGGATGGAACTGCCTCCCGGGGCGGTATTCCAGGCATCTACCCTTTAAAGACCCCAGAAGATAGATATATGTGTAGCTGCTAGCCTGAAACAGCAGCAGGAAGGTGGGAGGGAGGGCACTTGGCTGAAGTCAAATGCTTGCTGACTGACTAACAAGGAAGGCAGCTAGAGGCCAGTCCACCCACACCTAGCATGGAAGCCAAGCAGGTGCATAGGGGAGAGCGCTGAGCTGATCCAGCATCCCTGACTTGTGCTTCCGCAGTCACTACCTACCAGCAGGTGTGGAATCCGTAAGCTCTCAGGGCTGCCTTCAGCCTTTCATAAATATCCCTCTTCTCAAGGGCACAGCGCCACTGGCAATGTCATTCCATAGTGAGGAGCAGCAGCGGTGACTAGTGGAATAAAACACAGTGTGGTGTGGCTCACAGGAGCAGTCACCAGCCCAGTGCAAAAGCAGAGGGCTCAGTGTTGGCACTGGTAACTTCAGGGGCCTCTGGTACATTCCAAATCCTTGAGAAGCCCGAGTTGGCAGCAACATCTCTTTCTTTCTTATATACACTCCCCCCAAGTGTGAGATTCAAACCTTCCCCATGTTCAGTCCCAATGCTGAGTGACCCCTTTTCTTCGTAGCCTTCAGTGTTCCTTTCCTTCCAGCAGTATGGAGCTCAGTCCCATGTGTTCAAGCACAGCCCAGGGAAGCCAGCAGGAGTCTGAGAGGGGGTGTGAGGCGACCCCAAGTCTACCTCAGCCCCACTTCCATTCTGTTAACACCACAGTCTCTCCAGACGGGCCTCCGAGGCTCTCACCATTTCCACATGTCTCACACATCACGTTTCTTGTATATTTTCTCTTGGCTGCCCTCCTTCATGGCTGCATATCTGGCTACAGTGAAGAGGTAATCGCTGAGTCTGGAAGGGCAGAAAGAAGCAACAAGGACGGGTGTGAGAGACTGATACCAGCTGGCTCATGCCTAGCTGGTCTTCAAGCAGGAAAGGTGAGTCTCGTACCCCCGGGAGCACCCTGTGGTAGATGGATGGTGGGGCTGGAGCACTCCTGGAGTGCTCCTGTGGGCACAGGCTATTTGCCCACCTTCAGTTGCAAGGGTGGAGCCTAGGAACGCTGGCTACTTGAGCTGCTTCTCCATTTCCTGTGACAGGGGTGTGACATCTGGGATTCAGGGGAGCTTCACAGACCAGGAGTCTGCAGGTCAGCCCCAATCCCAGACAGGATCAGGAGCCACATTTTGCATAAAGAGGCCTTAGGTGAGTCTTATTCTTTATGGCTAGGGCTCTCCTGTGCATGCAGAGTGGCCAGTGGCACCAGAACTAGACACAACCACCCAGACATCTCTAGACACTGCTAATGCCCCACTTGAGAGTCAGCGGCCTGGAGGAGTCTCATGATCAACGTCTAGATCCCTACCTCTTCCGCAGACCCAGCAGTGATGGGCTCAGGACAAGAGGCCTTCTACGGGAAAGGGACAGAGACTACCAGGTGATGCTACACCTCGAGGTACTTACAGGGCTCTGCCTGGAGGCTAACAGCTAGCTTTTGCCACTCTCCCCTCCATGCCTGCTGCTCCCCTCCTCCCCTTCCCTCCCATCTGGTGCACTACTGCTAACTCCTGGGGCCCACTGCTGGCTAGCAGGACCACGGGACTCTACACTGCCCTTCTGAACCTCGTGTTCCTATGCTGCTTTCTTGGTGACTCCTGGGAACCTGCAGGGAGTCGGGATGACCTGCCCTGACCCACACAACACTGGACGTCCAGCGGTTCTTCTGAGTTAAAAAGGAGCTGTCTCTCACTCAGTCTGGGTGACATTCCACCCAGGAGGCAGGGAACCTGTGAGGATCCAAGAAGTCTACATCTGGGGGAGGTGGGGATAATATGGGACATCCCACCGCCAGGCATTGAGGTCACAGTCTGCATGACTAGGCAGCTCCTGGGTGCAGCCCCCACCTTCCTCAAGTCCTCCACTGGCCCATGTCTGAGCCCGAGGTACAGCTGCGATGCAGAGGCTGACCACAGGGCAGGGCACTGTTGGATTTCCTGGCTCACAGCACTGGGGCCTGAGCTCAGCAGGGTTGTGTGCCACCTAGGGTATTCAGGTAGAGATGCTGGCGGGACAGGCTTCCTGTCGGTTAACATCAAGGCCCTGGGCATCAGTATCCATGAACAGACCCAGAGAGCAGCCTGCCCCTTTAATTTAGGTGTGCCTCTGTTGGCTCTTACTGGCACTTCCTAACCAGAGCCTTACCTCACAGAGTGGGACAGGGCTGGTCTGCAGACAGCACACTCACAAACATACATGCTGGGGGTGGGAGGAGGAGAGAAGAGGGAGCAAGGGAGGGAATGAGGGAGAGGTGTTGGCCTTAGCTGTGGATGCTCTTAGGGTTCACAGCATGCCTGGAGGTTCAGAGACCCGCCATACTCCACTTCAGCACCTGTTTAAGAACTTCGCCACATTTGCATCTGTTTCTCCCATTTGGACAAGAGGCACTACACTGTAAAGAGAACACACGGACGCAGTCAGGTTCCACGGCCAGGCTCAACACACGGGAGCCAGGGCACGGACGCAGTCAGGTTCCATGACCAGGCTCAACACACAGGAGCCGGGACACAGACGCAGTCAGGTTCCACGGCCAGGCTCAACACACAGGAGCCAGGGCACGGACGCAGTCAGGTTCCATGACCAGGCTCAACACACGGGAGCCGGGACATGAGTTCCACGGCCAGGCTCAACACACGGGAGCCAGGACATGGAGCACCCCTTGACCTCACCACTTAAACTAACCCTGACAACTATGAAGCAGATATGAAACTCCTACATTACCTCAGCTGACCCCTTCCCTTGGACATACATGATGTGGCCTGGCCAGTGAAGGAGGTGGCACAGCAGGTAAGTTGAGAGTAGGCTGGCCAATAGTCCAGTCTGCTGGCCTTTGTGCCAACAAGCACGGTCTTGGCTCCTACGTGGGCAGAGCTGCCAGCCTCTAGTCTTCAAAAGAAGGCTTATCTGGGCCTTAATCCCCAAAGAGCTACCGTTCTAACTAGTAATTCTAAATGTGTGCATACACTTGGGACAGTGTGCCTACTGGATACATGGCGTGATAACATCCCACCCGACTCCTCCACACATACACACACTGCCTGTTCCCTGTTGGTACTCTCCCAAGCCAGCCTGAGGTGTTTTGACCTTATCCAAGATGATGTACTTGGCCAGTACCCCAGAAGTCTTATGTCTAGGCAGGCCTGGAGGCACCTCCCACTCAGCATGGTTGCTTCAGCTAGGTAACCACCTGCCCTGAGAGCATCCTGGCGGGTCACTGGCAGGTCCCTGTCGTGGCTGGGGCCTGTCTGCCACACAGAGGATGCAACACCAGCTCAGTCTCGTGCTGGGCCTGTAGGCCACTCCCTCTGCTTGCTACGGTGATATGGGTGACTTTGTACAAAGCATAATTTTTCTCTTGAGGCCCAGGCTTTTTTTGTTACCCAAGATGCATCTGGGAATGTCTAGGTCTATGAGCCTTTTGTGAAGGACGAAACTTTTGTGATATGGGAGACTGTGGAAGGGTGGCCCCAGCCACAGAACCTGTTGGGAGGTCCTGCTAACTTAGCTGCCCGACTCCTGGGGAGGGGAGCACTGTGAGGAACCTCCTGAGACCATGAACACTCTTGAGTTTGGAAATGAGGCAAGGCAGGGAGGTGGCTAGACTATGAACTGCTTCTACCTGGGTCCTCCCTAACCACAGGGCCCCTACGGTCCTTTCTGTCTAATTCCAGAAGGGTCCTTTCATGTTATTCTCCCTGCGCCTCCCCATAGCCTGGAATATGTCACTGGCTTCTTGTGAATCTCAGGAGGAGGGAAAACTCTGCTTGCCTTTGAGCAGTATGCAGTCACCTATCACAGTCCCCTCTGTGACATGGGACTTAGGAAATGACATGATGAAGTCACCTAGAGAAGGGTCGGATGACACAGGTATAAGGCTCCTGCATTGGCCTCTGGGACCCTTACCGTCGCTCAGCTCGTCGGCACACGGCCCGGCAGAAGTGCAGGGCTGAGCTGCTCTTGCCTCCAGACTGAAAGAGAAAGTGAGCATTGGCCAGCATTGCTCTACCCTGGACAGTCTTCTGCCTCCCAGAGCCCTACCAGACACACCTCTGGGGTGGCTCTCAAGTGGACAGGAAAAGGAGTGGGGTGCTGGGAGTGGCTTTGTTGTGGTAAAAGTCAAAGTTGGAACTAATGGCAAGCCCACGTGTTTCTGTCACTACACCCACCCTTGCCACCCCAGGTTGAGCCCCGCAATACCTACAGGCAGAATGAAAGCTGTGAGTGGGGGAAGCTGGCTGGAGTACTTGTCAATCCACTGTTCCAGCTCCATGATGGGCCCTTCCTCGAAGACCGTGAGTTCTGAGGAGTCAGGGGCAGAAAGGCCTCCTGTAAGCATGCCATGAGTACATTCGGGAAACACCCCTTCCCTTCTGCACGGTATCCTGCCAACGGTTCCTATCAGCTTTGAAGCTAACGACTTTCCAAAGCAGAGAACAAGTTGTCTGCCCTGCCAGAGAGCCTGGGGACCTACACTAAGGGGCGGCCCCACCCCAGGACCCCAAGAATTCCCTGAGCAGGGCTGGGAATTACTTAAGTGAGCCTCCCTGGCTGAGGATCGTGGAGTAGCCAGGGCAGAGCCAACATCCTGCAACGTGCACTGGATCTGGGGAACAGGAGGAGAGAAAAAAGGTCATCTAGCAGGCTAGGTGGAAATTGTGCAACCTTACCGCACTATTGCATGTGCAGAGGAGCCACAGAGCGTGCCAGCAGCATGTGCCACAGAGCGTGCCAGCGGCGTGTGCCACAGAGTGTGCCAGCAGAGCCTATGAGAGGGACGTGCCAGCAGAGTGTGCACACTAGGCAGTGAGGAGCTAACAGAACTGAATTCATATCCAAAGGCAAACTGTCCAAACTAAGCACCATGAAGCCTCCAGAGGAGAATTTGAGGGAGTAAAGGCACCTTCTTGGTCTGATCTCTGGCTCCCACATACCTGCCTTCTTTCTCTATGCTGACAGTTCTGGAGTTGTAATTCAATGAACAAAGTGACCAAATGTGCCAGAGCCACCTCAGCTGTGAAGGACAGGATATGGAAGGCAGTGGCCAGGAAGGACTCCTGTGCTCCTGAGTTCCCAGGCAGGCTACAGCGATGCCTGGGAGACAGCAGCAAGGGTCTAGAGAGATGTGGCTGGTGCCCTGGCTGGCGGGTCTGTTGGAACTCAACTGCAACACTACCAAGCACACTCCGCCTGGCTGAGACTTACAGCTGGGCTCCCGAGCATGCTGTTCTTCAGCCTGGGCTGTGGCCACTGGCATTGGTTGTTCTTTGCCAAGATGCTGTCCCTGTGCAATGTAGGGTACTGACACCAGCAGCTTTCTCGCTGCCAGATGTGACAAGCACCTCTGGAGAGCAGAGCCGCCCTTTACACAGCACCCCTCATCTCACGGAGGATTACGTGTCCTTACTTCAGAAATGAGGACAGAGCAGTTCTCAGAAGTAACTTCCTACCGTGGCACAAAGAGGCAACGGGCAGAGGAGGAAGCCAGCGACACCCAAGTCGTGGGGACAAAAAGCCACAATGTAGGCTAAAATGATGTAACTTACTTTCTGAAGTTCTTTGGCAAATGTGTGGCCTTTTTCTGTGATCACCTCCATGGCAAACCTAAGAGCACAAGGAAAAATTAGCCCGTAACAGAATGCTGTGGGGCCGTAAGATACCGTGACCTACAGTGACCATGGCGGTCTTTCTTGTTGACAAAGAGAACACCAGGTAGACAGGGGCATTTGCTTCCTAGAGTGCTTTTATTGTGTTCTTTCTCCCCAGTCAGCTGTTCCTCTCTGCCCTTGCCCAGGCCAGTCCTGTTGATACGGTAGGGAGCAGAGGACCTGGGGCCTGTCCAGTAGGAGATAAAGACGTGTGCCGTGCACCACAATGCCGAGGTTAAGAACTTTGACGAGGAGCCGGGTGGTGGTGGTGCACGCCTTTAATCCCAGCACTCGGGAGGCAGAGGCAGGCGGATCTCTGTGAGTTCGAGACCAGCCTGGTCTACAAGAGTTAATACAAGGATAGGCTCCAAAGCTACAGAGAAACCCTGTCTCGAAAAAAACCAAAAAAAAAAAAAAAAAAAAGAACCTTGACGAGGGGTGAAGAGGAAGGTGGGACTCTGAAGGATGAACAGGAGTTCCGTGGTAAAGTAGGACAGACGAAGAGACAACTTCCCAGACATAGGTCAAAGACGCTGCACTCCCCTCTTGCACCCCACGAGGCCTGGCAGGGGACAGATGATGGCACATGAGAAGGATTCCTGGCAGAGAAACTCTCAAAGGGACAATCCTCAAAGATGCAAGCAGAGATACAGGAACTGATGACTGACGGTGAAGAGTGGAAAGCACAGAAGCCCAGAGAAGCAAGGGAGGGATGCAGGTGCATTCCAAACTCAGAGGGTGAGCAGCAGGACCCAGAGCCTGCCAGGGCTCGGGTGGTAAACACTTTGTCCACACTCCCAGGTTGTCCTCCGCACACTTCCTCTCTGCCCACTGCTGCCTCCCATCACTGGGCCCTCGTGGAAGCGAAGACCAGGACATCGGGCGTAGGGTTGGCAGTTCCGCTGGTCGAGCACCCTCCCCGGCAGAGAGGCCAGAGGACAGGAAAAGGAGCAGTGGGGCAAACAGCAAACAATCATCTTCCAATCAGAACAGAGCATGCACTCCTAACATCTGTCTTCCTCTGGATGACAAGGTGATGGAGGTGGGTCATCTGTCTATTTGTTGCTTTCACTGGTTAATTAATAAAGAAAACTGCTTGGCCTGATAAGGCAGAATTTAGGTAGGCAGAGTAGACCAAACAGAATGCTGGGAAGAAGGGAAGTGAGTCACAGATGCTATCGCTCTCCTCTCCAAGATGGACGCAGGCTAAGATCCTTCCTGGTAAGGCACTACCTCATGGTGTAACACACATTATTAGAAATGGGTTAATCAAGATATGAGAATTAGCCAAGAAGAGGCTAGAACTAATAGGCCAGGCAGTGTTTAAAAGAATACAGTTTCTATGTAATTATTTCAGATAAAGCTAGCCGTGCAGAGCTGGGCGGGAACGCAGCCCACCGCTCTTCTTACTACAACAAGGAAAGGCTATGCTGGCTGGGGCACATCTGTCATCACTGTCCACTCCACTCCTGGCACCTGAGACCATGAGCCTGAGAGTTCCCGGGGCAATGATAAAGATAAGTCAGGGAGATGCAGATTTATCATATTAATTCGTAAGAACAGAGGGAAAGGACTTCCATGACCATTTCACAGAACAGCAAACTGAGGTTTAAAACAAGGGTGTCTGGTCTGACCTGAAGTCACACAGCTACTAAGGAATGGTACAGAATCTGAACACAGATCTTCCTGATCCCCACATCTGTGACCACAGGGCCAGGCAGAGCTCAAGGAGCAGCCTATCAGTGTCCACACCCCAGTGTGGCCAGCACACCCACCATGTGGTCATCCACGTGCATTTGGCCTTTCCCACAGTACCAGGATGTGACTGGTTCTGACCAGGGCAATGGGAAGGGGGTCACACAGGAAGTCTCAGGAGCCGGCACGAGCCTCACCCACCAGGACCTGTACAGCCCCAGACAGGTGTCTCATCATCAGGGTTCCACAGAGGCCATATTTGGCAGCAGTGCAGCCAGCGTGCAATGGCTGGAAGTGAGGGTGGGGATTAACCCTTCAGTGTGATAAGCAGTCGGGATTGGGAGCTGAGGACGGGAATCATTGAGCAAGGCTTCTAACCCGACTCACTTTAAAATCCATTCACAGGGGGGCCACCTCTGATGCACTGACGATCACCTGACCTCACCTCTTTCCCCCACAGCCTGTCTCCTGATGGCACACGTGTGCTCCAAGTGACAGAACCAGGGAGGGTGAGAAGAAGGGACCGCCCTGTGTTGACAGAGGGACAGACCTATACCCTGCAGACCCATGGAACTGACCAGCCTGTGCTAACAGCTCATACAGATTCATCCAGGCAACCTTCCAGACCCTCCAGGACCCAGGAGAATGTCACAATGATGACAGTCACCAATGCCACAGGTTAACTTCACATCAGGGCCCATCCTTGCCCCCCTTACCCAATAGCTGAACTTAGTTCATCTGTAGTTCCCAAAGCCTCAAATACTTGGTCATCTTTAGGTCTCCGCTCTCCTGTGAAGGTGCTGGAAAATCCTAGGGAAGATATTTAGCACATTAAGAATTGGGGGCTGTCTGAAGGGAGGGGCAGGAGTTGGAGGGATGGTTCAGTGGTTAAGAGCACTTGCTGTTCTTGCCAAGTGTTGTAAAAGGAGCAGTGGGCTACGTTCCTGGCACCCAGCCGCCCACACAGCTAGCTTTATACCTGAAATAATTACATGGAAACTGTATTCTTTTTAAACACTGCCTGGCCCATTAGTTCCAGCCTCTTATTGGCTAGCTCTTACATATTGATCTAACCCATTTCTAATAATCCGTGTAGCCCACAAGGTGGCTTACCAGGGAAGATCTTAACCTGCATCTGTGTTGGGTGGGAGAATCATGGCGACTCACTGACTCAGCTTCTTTCTCCCAGCATTCTGTTCTGTTTACTCCACCCACCTAAGGGTTGGCCTATCAAATGGGCCTAGGCAGTTTCTTTATTAATTAACCAATGAAAGCAACAGATTAGAAAGAAATCACTCCCACATAAGCCAAGGACCCAGATTCAGGTCCCAGCACTCATGTGGTGGCTTACAACCACCTGTAATTCTAGCTCCAGGATCTGATGCTGTCTTCTGGACTTCTCAGGAAGCAGACATGCACATGGTACATAGACATACATGTAGACAAACACTCATACACATCAAATAAAAATAACAAATGAATCTTATCAAAAACAGATTTTTCCCGATATACTTAAAATATTTATTTTATTTCACGTGTGTAGCGAGCTGCATGAAGCCACACCTGATGGAGATGTATAATCAACTCCTATGGCTAAAGTCTGACTTATGTTATTATCACGCAATGATTATCAGCTGCTTGCATATGCTTGGACCTATGGGCAATGCCCACCTGGCAATCCGGGATTGGCAGCCCATGCCTACTTAAGGGCTGGGAGAGGTTTGCCCGGGGAGAGAGGGGAAGAGAGAGGGAGAGAGAGAAAGTGAATAAAGTCCTGGAATAAACTGCAGTGAGAGGAGCTCCGGTGTGTCGCGTGTCATCCTTGCTGGACGAGGGTGGGGCGTGACACACGTGTATGGGTGTTTTATCTGCATGTATGTCTATGGACCAAAGGTGTCCCCTCTACTTCCCTGGCATACTTTTAATTTAGACTAGGAGCCACAAATGAAGCCTCCTGCTTAAGAAGTAAAGCACCTGTGGTGTCTTGCTGTCTCTCTGTCATTCAGTCTGGACCTTAGCGTAGGTCACAGCTCCGACCTAGTACCAGAAGCGTGGCTTTGGTGTTGGCTAGCTACTCTACCCACTGCATTGTCGTCACGCACAAATGACTCCACCAAGCACCACAGATAGTCACACCGTAGCTGTGACAAACCACTCTCCACAAATCAAAGGAACCGTGCCAGAATTGAAGTCACAGAGCTCTCTGGGCTAAGGACAGTGACGGCTTCATCTGTCTGTCACAGCCCACCATCTCCCTGTCTCTCCCACCTTCCAAGCTGCTTCCTGACCACTTCAGATCCGGAACAAAGCAGAGCAAAGCTCCACTTCCCTGGCCCCAGCCCTGTGTCAGCACACCCTTCACCTTATGGGAAGTCCTGTCCAGCGCTACTGCAAGACTCCATGGCTGGGCCTTAGTGAGCCAAGTGCCCTGTCTGTGACTGACTGGAGGCCATTCTCGGACCTTTCTGGTGGAAAACACTGACACCACCAACTGACACCTGTCACTGCTACGCATGATTTCTTTTCTGTTGTTACAGTAACATACTTGTGACACTTACATTCCGACTTCTTGTTTCCCTGCAGCTCAGAGGTGGGAAGCACACCTTACGCACAGGCATACTTCGGCACGAAGGACATGCCCCAAGCACAGTGGCTGTTAACAATCTGCATGGTCTTAAGTTTCAGAAAATGGTGCCACAGCGGTCTGTTTCCCTGTTACGCTACACCCGGCATTGACTAAAATATTGAGGCGCCGGGCGGTGGTGGCACACACCTTCAATCCCAGCACTTGGAAGGCAGAGGCAGGAGGATCTCTGTAAGTCTGAGGCCAGCCTGGTCTACAGAGTGAGTTCCAGGACAGCCAAGGGCTACACAGAGAAACCCTGTATCAAAAAACAAAACAAAAAAAAAATTGAAGCAATGAAATGTTTTGAAAAAAAAATAGAAGAAAAGTATGTGAACTTTGTGTATTTCTCTCTCCCACAGTTCAAGCTCTCTCCTGACTACCAGTCAAAGATTAACTCTTTCAGGACTAGTGAGACAGCTCCGCTGGTAATGGGCCTGCTGCCAAGCCTGATGACCCGAGTTTATGCCCAGGAACTACAGGGTGGGAGGAAGGAACCAACGCCTGAAAGTTGTTCTCTGACCTCAAGTGCACTGTGGCACAGACACACAGACACACCCAAAAAATAAATTATAACTAAAAACCCAAATCCAAAGAGATAACCTCTCAGACATATCTGAGTCCCCTTCCACAAGCTTTTTTTCCCCATTTCTTTAGACACAAGGTCTCACTGTGTAGCCCTGGCTGGCCTAGAACTTCCTGTGTAGCCAGGTAAACAAACACACAAACATACACCCACAATACACACACAATTTCTTCTTCTTCTCTTTAGAGACACAGTCTCACTCTGAAGCCCAGGCTGGCCTTGAGCTTACAGTGACCCCCCTGCCTCTGCATCCAGCATCCCAAGATTACATGTCTATACCACCATACCTATAGTCAAACTTTTAATCCAAAAGAACTAAAACATATTTTTAAAAGTTTTAATTTGTTTTAATTGTGTGGGGGTGGGGATGGTGCCCAGAGGTCAGAGGCAATGGATCCCTCTAGAGTTAAGATTATAGGAAAGTGGGGCTGGAGAGATGGCTAACTGGTTAAGAGCATTGCCTGCTCTTCCAAAGGTCCTGAGTTCAATTCCCAGCAACCACATGGTGGCTCACAACCATCTGTAAAGAGGTCTGGCGCCCTCTTCTGGCCTTCAGGCATACACACAGAATATTGTATACATAATAAATAAATATTTTTTTAAAAAAAGATTATAGGAAAGTGTGAGCCACCCAATGTGGGTGCTGGGACCCATACCTGGGCCCTCTGGAAGAGTAGTACAGGCTCTTAACCACTGAACCATTCCTCCCACCCCATGACTCAGAGTTCTTAGATTGTGCCACACTGGTTTTGTTTATCTTTTTTTTTTTTCTTTCAGTTCTGGGGTTGAACCTAGGGCCTCCAGGATACTAGCCAGCACTCGATCCCTGATTGGGCCACACTGAGTTTTTTTTTTTTTTTTTTTGCAGTTCCGGGGTTGAACCTAGGGCCTCCAGGATACTAAACAAGCACTCTATCACTGAGCTACACTTCCAGTCCCACAACTTGCCTTCCCTTTAGTTCAAGACAGGGTTTAGTTATGTCTCCTAAGCTGGCCTGGAGACTGACATGTCACCCTAGCTGGTCTTGAACTCATGACTCTCCTATCTCAGTCTCCCGAGTGTTGGCACTACAAGCGTGCACTATTCCCATCTTCTTTACAACTTGATAATAGTTTGAACACTTAATGATAGTTATTAATATTAATAATTATATCATATTAATAATTTTTCATGTCACTTCATGTCACACGGCTACCACGAGGAGAGAAGAACTTTAAAGTGATGCCTGCTGTGTGTCTTGCCGCATTTATCACCCATCGTCACGCTACCTTTGTCTCCTGTTTTGGTATAAATCTTGGGGATCTTGGGTGTCTTCAAGGATGACTGCACCCTAACGAGAAAGAGACATCAAGACATGGTAAGGGGGGTGGCGTGCAGGGAGCACCTCACTCAGCTTGCTGGCTGCAAACTCCGCGACAGCATTCAGCCCCCTTCTCGATGGCAATCTTCTGTCAACAGTTCTCCTTGCCATCCCTTCTAGGTAATACCCCAGGCACAGTAACTGCTGTAGTGCACTGTCCAGTGAAGTGACTGACAAATATTTGCTGGAGGAGGTAACCCACCACTCCACGTGGCCTTAGCTCCACAGTGAACTAAAGCTACTACCTCCTGGAGTTAGAGGTAGTAGCTTTAGCAGCCCACAAAGATTCACCTCCCTGGGTCTCCAGGAAGAGGCAGGACTGGGATTTATGCCCAGGACTGTTCCACTCTAAGCGTGACCCGGGTCACTACCCTCCCCAAACTCTTGCCCCTAGTCCACCCTAACTCCACTTCTCTATCACAAAGTTACGGCTTTGTGGGGAAAGAAAACTGAGCGTTTTCAAAGGGTTCAAGTGTCACACACACACACACACACACACACACACTAAAAAACACTGGCAAAATGGAATTTGGAAAAAAAATTGTATTTTCACGTTTTAAATTTGTTAAGTTTTGATGCCTGCAATTGGAGCCCAGGCTTTGGACATGATAGACAAACGTTCTCTCACTGGGCCACAACCCCAGTCCTTGCTCTCCCTCAAGACACTGCCATTTTTAAATCACAGTGCATAACTTAAATATGAAGTTTACAATTAAAATGTTACCTTACAAGGTTATTCAAAAATCAGAGAACTGGGCAGGAAACACTGACTCTAAGTTCATGGTAGTCTGCAGGTTCTAAGGTCCTGGAAGTCTACGGTACAAGTTTCAAAGTGCTACTATGTCTTTCTTAGAAGATGTCTGGAGTCCTAATACTAAACCCAATTTGTCCAAAACTAAACCGCTTTGGACACCGGGTAAAATCCGAATAGCGGGCCCTAATGGCCCGCATCGACATGCCCTGCCCTGACTGGCCACAGCTGGACTGCATTAGAACTTGTGCCAAGAAATTCTGGTCTCTGACGCCATGCTGCCCCGGTGACGTCACCAGTGCGACGTACCCACGGAGCCAATACAACTATCCCCACCCCCGCAACTGTTGGAGTTGACACTCACCTGTTCCCGTCTTCTTCGCCCTGAGAGCTGCGGCTCTGAAAACGGGAACACAGCAGCCTGCAGGCGCCGAGATGTCCGCGCAGGCCAAGGCGGCCCCCAAACACCCACACAGCCATGCGTGGGACGAGTCCAGGGCTGACCCCGCGAGGCCTCCGTCCACGCTCGGGGATGACTCCGCCCCGCAGCTGGCCGCGCCACCTCTCAATCGCCTTCTCCTATTGGTCTGCGGCACTCGCACCAGGGCGGGGCACTCCCCAGTGCTTGTTTCCCATTGGATTACGAAAAGAGTAAGGCGGGGAAACCCCCCGGCGTGTTTGAAATTCCCATTGGTCAATATTCGACCCAATCCGTATAGGGATCCTCGGTTCGAGTTCTCTGATTGGCTCGAGGGAAGACGCGCCCGCCTCCGTGGGGCTGGGCGCTCCGGGATGGAGAAGACCGGGAGCTGCGGCCGAGGCTTTGGCACACCTGGACGCTGGCCGCAGCAGGTGAGAGGCCTCGGCTGCGGGGCGGGCGGCGAGGACCGGGGCCCCGGACACCCCAGGCCAGGCGCCCCATTCCTCTGCCTTAGTTTCCTTGGTCGGAGCGGTCGGCGGCATCAGATCGGACAGTCGGTGTCTGCTAGTGGGGTGGTTTGTGTGAGGCAGTTCCGGTGAAGTCTTAAACTCGGGTGATTTTACCTTAGTTATAACAATGCAAAAATGCATGCACCCGTAAATCCAGAAAAAACACTCATTAGACTCTGCCTTGCAGAAGTTCTTGTTCAAATACCCAACACCGGGTATAACAGGTGTGTCCTGCAGCCTTATTTATTATTCTGACAGTTAGCTGTGGACTCAATGTCTGGGAATAATTCTTTCCTTTTTTAAGATTTTATGTAAACCTCCCTTTACCACACCATCAAACACATGGCCTTCCTCATAGTAGGCAAGCCCTTCACTAGTGAGCGGTGCACTCTGAGGCCATGTCAGTTTCTACCTTCAGTAGTGATAGCAATGAGCTGGAGCCGAGAACCAGCCAGTGCTGAGTAGCTGTCTAGTCAAGGAGCTATTTGGCAGACAGACATTGCTGCTTCCCAGTCCTTTGGTTTCAGTCTCTGGTGTTGCCCTATTTGGCATGTGGGAAACAGATTCATGGTGTTTTCTCTCTCTCTCTCTCTCTCTCTCTCTCTCTCTCTCTCTCTCCTTTTCTGTCTGAGAGTTTCTCTACATGGTTCTGGCTGTCGTAGAGCTCACTCTGTAGACCAGGCTGGCTTTGAACCCAGAGATCCCTCCTGCCTCTGCCTCCCAAACGCTGGGATTAAAGACATGTGTCACAAAGCCCAACCTTTCTGATGTGACTAATTAACATCTAGGCACCCTTGTTCCCCTCTCTCCTATTCCCTCTCAGGAGTCTCAGGAGCCATGTTGTCAGAAGTCCTGCTGGTATCTGCTCCCGGGAAAGTCATTCTCCATGGAGAACATGCTGTGGTCCACGGCAAGGTAAAAAGTCCCCGGAGCCCTGAAGAATTGAGTATTACTTCTCTCTGACTCTGAATTTGAAGAAGATAAAAGAAAGGCCTGAGGGGTGGACTGGATGAATCTCTCCAGCCAAACAAACCTTAAATTGCTAAAGGACTTCTGGCCACCTAGTATAATACCAGAAAGATGGCGTGTAAACCCTCACAAGTTGAGTGGAATCACCAAGGAAGTTTGTGTTAGGGAAAAGAGCTCAGAGGAGTGGACTCTGGGGTGTCCCAGTGTTGGGAAATTGGAGACAGGGTCTGGTAGAGGTGTTGAACACATGCATTATCTCATTTAATCCTCGGAGCTAGCCCAGGGGTGCAACTTCGTAGTCTTCTGTCTTACAGGGAGGGAAACTGAGGCTTGGGAGAGAATTGGTAACATGACCAAGCACATAAGCACATTATACCTTCACAAGGCAGGGTGTGAGCCTGAGTGGTTCTGAACTCAAAACTTAGATTTTTTTTTCCATTCCCTGGAACTGTCACTTTATGGTTTTGTCTGTGCATATGCGTGTGTGTGTGCTTGCACGCATGTGTGCTGTGTGTAAGGTAGGAGATGAACTTCGGTATTGTTCTTCAGGAGGCACTGTTGCTTCTTTCTCATTGTTTTAGAGCCTTCTGGAATGGCGAGGCTAGACAGCCAGTGAACCCCAGGGACCCTCCCGCCTACAACTCTGAAACATGGATGTCAGGCTATGAGCCGTTCACCCTTGGCTTACTGCTTCTGCCTTTTGTCCTATAGGTGGCCCTGGCGGTGGCCTTGAATTTGAGAACGTTTCTACTGCTTCGACCACAGAGCAATGGGAAAGTGAGCCTCAGTTTACCAAACATTGGTATTAAACAGGTCTGGAATGTAGCCGAGCTTCAACTGCTGGACACAAGCTTTCTTGGTTAGTACAAAGGGGGAGCCAGGTGTGGTAAGAGCCTGGCCCCTGAAGAAAGTGGGGAGCTGGTGACGGGGTAGTTACTTCAGGCTGTCTTTAAGGGATCCAGAGGACAGCCATTTAGAGAGGTTTCTCTTCTGACCTCTGACCTCAAAAAATTGGTTTTACTCATTTAGTATTTGATTTGATTTTGTTTGTTTGTGGCAGTTACTCTGTGGACCAGGCTGTCCTGAAATGCACAGAGATCTGCCTATGTCTGCCTCTCAAGTGCTGGGGTTAAAGGCGTGTGCCCCTGTGCTCAGCTGGTCATCCTAAACTTGTGAAAACTTGTCCCTACACCACTGGCTGTTGGGGGCACATCCTTTAGACCCATGCAGAATGAAAACCTCACGCTGTGGTGTCCATTGCCCTTCTCGTTGCTATGACGAAGCCACTTAAGGAAGGGTGTATTTGGGCTCTCCATCCTGCTCGTGGCAGGAGTGTGAAGTGGCCAGCCACATTGCCTCTGCAGTCAGGAAGCAGAGAGATGAGTGGATGGATGTTGGGCACAGTTCCATTTCTTTAACCCTCTCTAGAAACACCTTCATCCACGTGTTTTCTAGGTGACTCTAAATCCTGCCAATATTAGCTAGTGTATTCCCAGTACCCAGGAGGTAGAGGCCAGAGGGTCAGAAATTCCAGAACAGCTTCAGCTGTATGGTAAATTCGAGGCCAGTCTGGGCTACACAAGACCACATCAAAGAAAACAAGATAAAAGAGAACAAAAGGTGTAAGTGTCACAGTTGTGCAATGGCACACGTGCTAGTGTAAGATGGTGTACATGTGTAGGAGGGTCTGGAGAAGAGGCATCAGCCATCAGCGTTGCTTAGATCCTGGGGAAGGTGCTGTGACGAGAAGCCTTCAGTTTCTGCCTTTAGTCTGTGGTTGCTGCTGAGTATAGGGCTGGGGAGCCCAGCGGCGGAGTATACGCTTAGCATATGCGAGGCCCTGGGTTTACTCTCCAGCACCACTAGAAATTATTTAAAAGGCCAAAGGAAGTTACGTTTATTACAGGCAAGTCCAGTCAATACTAATGAAGCGTTGCTAAATTCCTTCCCGGGGAAACGTAAACGACACCCACCCTTCTTCTAAGGTCCCAGCGACAACCCAGGCACAGTTCCACTAGAGCTCACCCTGGGGAATCCATGAGTTCATTGGGCTTCCTTATTGGGTACAGGTCAGGGGTTACCTATTGGGGTGTGGGTGCCCCACCAAAAAGTCTTCACCTGGCAGGAATGATGCCTCTCATGAAGTCACATAGATGGAGCCCAGCTATCCTAGCCCCTCCCTGCAGCCATGTGCTTCTGGGGCAGAGTTGCATACAGCTTGTGGTAGGGAGCCAGTAGATGCCCAGGTGAGGGTCCTACGACCTCCCTATACCTCTGTGAGGGGGTGCACGGTCAACAAACCCAGCTGGGATCATTGCTTTTGCAAGGGGGCACTGCTGAATTCCCCAAGATGGTGGTTGCCTGGCTCAGTAGACAGTCAGGAATAACTTGAGGTGGTAGACACCTCATAGCTTCAGCTCCCCAAGTACCACCCTGGGCATTCTGGCGCTAGCCAGTCAGGATTGACTTTGGGAGAGGGAATTTCTTGTTTTTGAAACAGCGTCGGGCCATACTATGCTTTTCTTTCAGGGTGTCAGCACTAGCTTCCCATGCCCATAGCCCAGAGCCCCTGTGCTGCTGCTGCTGGGGGCGTGGGAAGAGCGGTGACTGAAGGCATTTGGGCTGGTTCCCATGTGTCAGCAGGGCCCCTGCCCCATGGCCTGGTCTGACTCCCAGGATGCTCATCTTCTCTGGCTCACGCCTCCTCACTAGAAACAGCATTTCTTGGCCAGGCCAGCCGAGGGCGAGTGAGAGCCCTCCCGGGACTACTTCCAGCTGCCCCTGAGCCCTGTCACCTGCCACCAGAGACGGAGTGTGATGACCGCTTTGGTCTGTGGCTCAGCAGTGGAGGGCTGGGCTTGATCCCCAGTAGACGGAAAGAAGGATGAGGGCTGTCAATCTAGAGCAGTTCTTTCCTGTCTGCTGGGCTTTGGAATTGGCTGGGGGCTTTGTTCTTTTTTTCTGTGTATATGGGTTCTTGGCCCTGCCTTTCTGCTGTAGAGGATTGGAACAGGCGGTGGGAACTGACTGTATTCCCACTGGTACCAATGGTGGGAACTGAGTATATTTTACAAGACGTTCCCTGGGTGACTCCTGCACCCTCCTCAGTTCCGAGCCTCTGGGACTTGCCTTCCATGGCAGCAGGCAGTCTGTAGGATGGCACCATCCCTGAGGACCAGCAACTGCTTTTCTGAGTCAGTGTCTGAAGCAACAACAGCCAGGCATGGCCGAGAACACACAGACCCACTGGCGAGTCCGGGCAAGTCTCTGCTGATGCCAGGCCCGGGAGCGATGGTGTGTGAGCTGACTGGCAGTTGTTGTGAAGACCCAGCAGGAGAAAGGGTTGGTGCCAGGGTTGTAAGTCTGCCTCAGTAGGAGACCACAGGGTCTTCTTGGAGACTGGCTGCCACTGCTCCCTCCACATACTAACAGACAGTGAACAGGTACTGAGCACAGGTGTCAGACCGGGAGCCGAGCATGGTCTCCGCTGGCAGTCCCCAAAGCAGGTGATTCTGTTCATCTGCATTTTACGAATGTAACAATGGCGGCTTGGAGGCTGCACCTCCATTGTGGCTACAGAAAGGCCTACACAGGTCTCTACACTCCAAGATTGGTCTGTCTCCATCACAGAACT